CGACACTGAGGGTTGCGATCCGTTGCCGGACACGGAAAAAGAAAAAAAAAAAAAAAAAAAAAAAAAAAAAAGAAAAATTTCGTGTGTGCTGACTTCTGGCAGGGTGGGGCTCAGAGGGAGCCTCCACCAGGAGCATGCACTTTGATCAGTGTAGCAAATTATGTTCCTCGGGAGATAAGAACAGACACCAGCATGTACCAGGCATCGCACAGATGGAGTACACGTGCCAGGCAGTGCTCAGGGCTGTGAGTACCCCAAAGCCGAATAAGGCAAGCTGCTACCCTCCCCAGGCCCCTGCTGAGCACTGACCCTTGGGCTGCAGGCCCCTCGCTCCAGGCCCTGGCTGCAGTTATTTTTCACAACCTCCCAGATCAGACTGGAGCCCAGAGATTAGAGAAATAGGACACTGGTCTGTAGGCACAAAAGGAATAGAATTCTCCCTGTCTCTTCCTGTGCTGCTCATGTTCAAAGTCTCTGGAGCCTGGGTTTCAGCCTGTGAGGTTGGAGGAGGTGGGGACTGAGTGGGGGTGAGGATCTGTGTGGACCTGGGAGGCCACGCGCAGTGTTCAGAGCCTTTAGGAACGCAGTCCAAGCAAGGCTGGGCTTGTCTGGGGCCAGCTGGCCTGGTTGGTTAGGGCCAGGCATCCCAGGGCCAAATCCCACAAAGGCCATTGGTCACTGTCTGCCCCAAGGCTACAAATTTTGGTCCTAGCCCCCCCCCCCACCCTTAATTCAAAGTGCTACTGCCCAGGCACAACTGTGAGCCGGGCCTCCCCACTCCTGGTTCCCCCTCTCTCCCAGCCATGCCCACTTCTCCTCTCTGTGCCCCTCCCTCTAGTTTGTCCCCTAACTGTAAGCTTTGCACTTTCTCCTCCTTCAATATCTGGTCAACCAATCTAGCCTCCAGGGAAACCCACTTCGCTGAAAATTTACTTTTTTTTTGGCTGCTGTCTGGTATGGGGATCCCAACCCTTGACCTTGGAGTTATCAACATCACCCTGTAACCCAGAAAATTTGCATATTAACAGTGGGACAAAGCCTTAAACCCAAACCCCTAGTGGTGAGTTCTGAGCATTGACCAAATAGTGGGGAGAAGGGGTGGAGGTGGGGTGGAAAGCGTGAGAATCTTCCCAAGCCTCTAGGGAAGTATCGCATTTGTAAGTTTTAACAGAGCTGGGGGGGCGCTTTTGCTGGTGTTAAATCGACCAGAGACATCGTTTCACAGAGGATGTGGGATTCACGTGAGCTAAATTTAGGGCCGGCTTTCACGTCAATGCGTGCAGTGCGGGACTGCTTTTGACTGGGTCGCTCCTTCCAGGTCTACGAGCGGTGCAGCCTCTGCAGGGCGCCCCCTCGGTCCCCTGCAGCAGCGGTTCCCCACGGTGTCCGCATGGTGGCGTGCGGGCTCCGGGGAAGTTGCGCGGGCACCCTGGCTGCGGGGTGGCATTTCTCCACGGGAGTCCACGGACAGGACGGGATCGGTGTGGGACCTGGATCCCTCAGAGGCCCTGGACAGACGCCTGGCTCACAAGCCAGCCTGAAACACACCGAACACGTGCGTCCAGCGAGAATTCAAAAATGAACCAGGACTGAAAGGGGGCCAGCGTGGGTGGGCGACAACCAAGGGACGCGGAGGGACCCCTGCACCACCCGCACCCCGGGCGGGGCTCGCGGGGAGCGGCGGCGACACCTGGACAGAGCTGCTTGAGGGGGGTCTCCTCACGGCCGCATCTTTAAAGGCAGGGAAACGGTGTTCTTAACTCTTCCGGGCAGTAAACTGGTGCAGCCCTGCTCAGAGACAGAGGGACGGACGAGATGACCTGGGGGCCCTTCCTCACAGTCGAGGATAAACCCCTCAGCCCTGCAGGATGCCACCGCCTGAGCACAGGACGCAGCCTGGCTGCAAGTCCGCAGGCCTCGGAGGCGCTGGCCCTTTAAGGCCGGGCCCGGGCGGCTCGGGAACAAAGGGCCGTGAGTCACTCGCGTTTCTCCCGCGGGCCCCAGGCCGGCCGGAAGCTCCCGGGGCCGAGCGCGGCGGGGGGACCCCCGGCCCGCAGGGGGCGCGGCGCAGGCGGGCGGAGCGCGTGCGCGCCTGGGCGGGGGGCTCCGCCGATGGGCTTGGCACGTGGGTGCTCAGTTTCCGCATCCGCAGGACGGGAGTAAAATCCTGTCTCTGCAGGGGCGGAGGCTGTGGAGCGACGGTGACACTGGGCTCCCCGCCAGGCCGTTCTCCTCGCCGCGGTCCAGCCTGAGCGCCGTCTTGCGACCACCGCTGCCTCCTAGTTTCCTTCTGCTCTCATTCCCTCCGCTCCACTTGACCCTCCCCTGTCCCTCGAGGACTGAACCACAGACTCAGCTCCTCGGGCTCTCGGGGCCTGTTCTAGACTCGCGACCCCCTGGGAAAGGCAGCCCATGAGCCTCCTGCCACCCAGTGGTGCCTGACACAGGTGGGGCGAGCGGGCTGGGCGCGGGAGTCGATCCGGGCTGCTTTCTGGAGCACCCGGGCGGCTCTGGGCAACGCCAGCACGTGGCTCTGCTGACTGCAGCGGGTGGGGGACACCGGCGCAGGACACCACAGACCCACTCCACAGGTTTCCCGGTTCCCCTGCTTGCTGCACTCCGGGCCTGGCTGGGCACATCACCCCCTCCCTCTTCCTCCCGGTCCTTGTTCCAGCACAGACGTTCCTGTCACCCAGGCCCTCTCGCCAACACCCGGCTCCCAAGGCTGGTGTGGATTCCATCCCGTGAAGTCATGGATTGCTCCATTGTTCCGCCAGACAATTATTTATCCCTTCATCCTTGTTGGCTTAGATTTTTGTTTCTTTACAAAACTTAAATTGGAAAGGAAAGGAATGCCGCTTTTAACAGAAAAATAAACAAATTTTTACATTGTTTATTGACATTATGGTCAGTGGGGACCACAAGCTTCAAAAGATCATTCTGCCCTTTCTTGGAAACAAGGTTACAGGGATGTTCTCCCCGAGGGTCACAGAGGTTGGCTCAACCCCAAAGGGGTAAGTAACTGTCCTACAGAAAAGCCACAGAGGGCCGGCCCCGTGGCGCACTCCGGAGAGTGCCGCGCTGGGAACGCAGGGGCGCTCCCGCCGCGGGTTCGAATCCTATATAGGGATGGCCGGATCCTATATAGGGATGGCCGGTGCGCTCACTGGCTGAGCGCGGTGCAGGCGACACCAAGCCAAGGGTTGCGATCCCCTTACCGGTCACGAAAAAGACAAAAAAAAAGAAAAGCCACAGAATGCACTCCTCCGTGTGTCTAGGACCTGGAGCCTGTGGCAGACAGTGAGTGCCCGGGGAAGAAGCTGCAGGCCTGGCAAGGCAGCTGACAAGTAGGGATTTGTGGCAGGGTGTCAGAGAAGGCTCCCTGGACACAGGTTCAAATCCTGACTCTGCTACAAGCCAGAGGTGTGAGCAAGCCGGTTCCCCTCACTGGGTTCCTTTTCTTATCTGTGAGATTGGGGGATTGGAACAAACGACTTCTTGGGTCATTTTCAGCACAGTGATCTAGGAAAGGGGAAACTCCCTCCTCTGAGTGTAGAGTCTCAGGGGCTGAGGACGTTCCTCAGGAGAGGCAGAGGTCAGGCAGCTGTGGGACCAGGCGCAGGGGCGGGCTCGTGAGTCACTTTGCCCCAGGCAGCTGGAGGGCACTGGTGACCCTCTGATGAGTCATTCCTGTCATCCCTGAGAAAAGCCATATGGCAGTCTTCCTGTGATCAGCTCAAACTCAGGACCCTGTGGCCCTTCTGTTGGCCTAAAAATGACCAACTAGCCAGGAAAGCCAGGCGCCTCACCTGAAAGAGACAGTGGTGAGCCAGGCTTTTGGAAAGCCAATTTCCCATAAAGGGAAAGGGAGACCCCAGCCCAGGAAGACTGATTTGTTCAAGTGAATGGATTTGGGTCACCTACTATGCCAATTAGCTTTTTTTTTTTATTTTAAAGATGACAGGTAAGGGGGTCTTAACCCTTGACTTGATGTTGTCAGCACCACGCTCTCCCAAGTGAGCTAACCAGCCGTCCCTATACAGGGATCCAATCCCATGGCCTTGGTGTTATCAGCACCACACTCTCCCGAGTGAGCCACGGGCTGGCCCCCCAATTAGCTTTTAATTAGGTGTCCGGGATTCCTAATCCCCTGTCAGAATTCAATTTGTAAGCGTGCCTGAGCCTGTCCCACTGTGCACACGTATATAGTAGGCTCCCCATACACTGGGATGACGGTGGTTCCCAATTATGCAGTACATACCTTGTGCCTGTCATAGGGTTAAACACAGGGCATGAGTCATCTTATATAGTCCTCACAACAGCTCTGTGAAGTAGGTGAGGGCATCATTATTGTAGCTGAGAAGATGGAGGCTCAGAGAGCCTACGGGACTTGCCCAGGACCACACAGCACAGTTCTTATCCCAACTCTACATGCCAAAGCCTTTCTTTTTTTTTTTTTTCCTTTTTGTCTTTTTTTTTTTTTACTGACCAGTAACGGGATCACAACCCTTGGTGTCGCGCCTGTACCGGGAATCGGCAACGGGATCGCAACCCTCGGTGTTGCGCCCACACCGCGCTCAGCCAGTGAGCGGGAACCGGTCTCCACATGGGATCCGAACCCTTGGCGGGAGCGCCACCGCGCTCCCAAGCGGCGCACTCTCCAGTGCGCCACTGGGCCGGCCCCAAAGCCTTTCATTTTAACCCCTACTCTACTACCTCCCAGAGGGTGAAGCCATACTCTACCTCCAAGGAGTTTAACATCTAAAGATAGACATATGTGGCCTAAGATGGAAGAGGACAATTAAATAGTCCCATGAGGTACATATGTACACTTGCTAAGAGGCTGTATAACAACACCTCTCCCTGAGTGAAATTTGCCCAAGGGTTTCTTGAATCTGCAGTGGCGCTGTGTCCCCGAGCCCCTGCACTGCTGTGGCAGAAAGGACACTAGACATGAAAGGCAAATGGCTTGGGTTCAAACTGGTAAGAGAAGACCTAGGTAGTGGGGAAAAACCAGGTTGAGAGAGGAACTTTTATCTACACCTTTTGAATTTTGAGCCATGTGAATGTTTGAACTATCTAAAAAATAAATTTGAAACAGAAACAAATATGCACCAGCTATGGTTTGAATGTGTTCCCAAAGTTCATGTGCTGGAAACTTAACCCCCAATGCAATGGTGTTGAGAGGTGGGACCTTACAAGGATTCTGCCCTCGTGAATGGATTAATGCTGTCGCTGCAGGAGCAGGCTCAGCCCCTGTCCTCCCTCTGTGCCGTGTGCTCACTATCCCTTCCACCACTGGATGCCATAGCACAAAGACCCTCACCAGACGCCAGCATCACGATCTTGGGCTTCTCAGCCTCCAGAACCATGAGCTAAATGAACTTGTGTTATTTATAAGTTACCCAGTCTCAGGCATTCTGTTATAGAAATACAAAACAGACTAAGACACACCCCAAAAGGCCAGTGGTTAGAATAAATAGGTTAGGGTGGGCCGGTTAGCTTAGTTAGTTAGAGGTGGTACTGATAACATCAAGGTCCAGGGTTCAATTCCTGTACCAGCCAGCAGCCAAAAAGATAAATAAATAAAGTAAATAGGTTAAAATAAAGCTGAATTTATAGCTTCATCTCACCCAGACCTTAGCTTCCCCGTCTGTGAAACAGGAATAACATCTGCCCTGTCCAGCATAAAGAGCTGTTAGAAAGACCAAAGAGATAATGCAGGTGAATGTGCTTTGAAAACTGTAAAGTATTAAACAAATATGAGATGGCAGAGACATTTCTCCCACTCAGGATTATATTCCTTAGAGGCATTTTAAATCCTATGTCCTGACTCGGGACTTGTCCCAGCCCAAATTTCAAAGTAGGCAGCTTTTATCTTCTCAGCCACCCACATAGTCTTTGGAATGCCTCTGGGGGCGGGGGCGGGGGGGTGCTCACACAAGCCATCCTGCACTGGGCCTCCAGGGGTCTCAGCTGTCCCACCTGGTCCCCACCCAACTCTCTAGCCTGGTCCCCCTGCTCCTCCTCCTACACCAGGGAGGGGACCCCGAGCTAACCCTTGTTGGGGCTCGGCCTGTGCAGGACTCAGCAATGCTCAGAAGCACAGGCCACACCAGATTACTCACTGTTCCCTGAACACACCCCACCCTTCCCAGCCTGCGCCTGCGCCTGCTCCACTCCAGGACTAAAGGCCTTTCTTCCCTGTGCTCTCCTCGGGGGCGTCTCCCCTCCTTTCTAACTTTGTCACCATGTGCGCTCCACCCCGGCACTGTTTGAAAGAAGGCTGCCCGCTCCCTGGTCTGTGCTGGCCCTGGGCCTTGTTCAGACCTCTCCAGGTGGCTTATCTGCTGCCTACTTTACCGCATGGACACCGCCCTCCATGTTACGGGGTCCCCACAGTGCCTAGCTCAGCACTTTGCCCACCAAAGGTGCACAGTGAATGATGGTAACCTTGAATCTTGTATTTGAAGGAACGATGTCAAAGAGTTTTTTCAAAAAAGGCAAAAGAAAGGACCTTTAAGGGTGGGGTTTCGGGGCCCCACAGTGGCTTCGGGGTGGGGGGAGTGGTGTTGGGCAGTGAACCTTTACCTCTAAAATGAAAGCCCCATCTCAGGGAAGGGTCTTTCTTTCCTGGATCCCTTCTTTCCATGGCAGTGCTGAGGGGAGCCTCGGGGAATGAATGACTCAGGCTGGAAGCTTCCACTGGTCTTCAGGCCAAAACCTGCAAAAACCCAGACCCCTGAGGCCTTCTGTCTGGGGCAGGACACAGGCAGGCACTCTGACTGCAGCCTTCCCTGGGCCAAGAGTGATGATCTTGCACTTAAAAATCAGCAGTTTCTAATCCATGTCAGGGTGGGGTGTCTTTTGCGTGTTATTCTGGTACTAGCACTCAACTGTCCCAGAGATCTCCTCTGAGCACTGAGTGCAGTCTTACCGTGAGGTTCCAGACCTTGCCCTGGGCTGCAAACTAGGCCGTTGCAGCAGCCACATTCATGGGACACAACAGAGGAGGCCTCCACCAGGAGGGTCTGCAGCACCTCTGCCATCCATCAGGAAACAGCGTGGCAGGGCCTCGGGTTAGCGCAGCCCATCAGGAGCAAGGATTCCCAGTACTTTGACCCCTTCATGAGTGCAGGAGGTGGCCAGGTTTCTCTCTAACGAAAGGGGGCTAGATATTACAAACACGAGCAGGTATGCAGGGAGGGAGAGGAAGGCACAGGGATGGCAATAGGGCCCCCATGACACCTGCTTCCTCTCTCTTAGGAAGCATTTTCCACCTCCCCTGCAGTGATCACTTTGTCAGTGGCTTTCAGGAAAGACTGTCATCTCAGTCAAGGTCCAAAGTTAATCGTGGATTTAGCACACAGAAATGTCCAAAGAATTTATCGCTCTCTCCCTATTCCCACCCCAAACAAGAGCACGTTCTGAATTCGCACCTTGCTCTGGGACTTCCAGACCCATCTGGCATTCGTTCGATACCCTGCTTTGGCTTTAGGTTCTCAGAAGCATTCCCCACGCCCTCCCAACCCATCTTTCCTGACTGCAATCCTACTCATCCTTCGAGGGCCAACAAAATGAGCGAAATTTTAAACAGTAATAATTAAACAATGACAGTGCTGTGTGCCAGGCACAATTCCACAAAGTGGGCGTTCATAGTCCCATTTTAGAAGTGAAGCAATTGAGGTTCAAAGAGATCGACTGCCTGAAGTCACCAAACACTAATGGACCGTCCCAGTGTCAAAATCCTAAGCCTATATTCTTTCTTCTGTATAGCAACGGTCCTCAAAGTGTGCTCCTGTGAAGCAGCAGCAGCAGCCTCACCTAAGAACTTGTTAAAACTATGCAGATTCTCAGGTTCCACTCCACACCTGCTGAATCAGAAACTTGGGGTGGAGCCTAGCAATCTGCATTTTAGCAAGACCTCCAGGTGATTCTGATACAAGGGCACCTTGGAGGACCACTTGTCCGTCCACACGACCTCACTGCAGCCATCAGTGCTACACACTTGTACTCTGATTGTGTCATTGAATTATCCTAATGACACCTATTTTACAGACAAGAAAAAGCAAGGCTCAGAATAATTTAGTCGCTTTGCCCAATATCACCCAGCTTTTATGAATTGGAACTGGGATTTGAACCCAGGCAGGCTCTGGAGCCTGTGTCCTTAACTGCTACACCATATGGCCCTGGAGGCCTAGGCTATGTAAGCCCCTCAAAGTTGTGGACTAGTTTAAAGTATTCAAAGGTAGTATATCTAGATTGTTCCACAGAATAGTGAATAAATACAAACCTGCATTTCACACCAGCAGCCAGCAGCTCCTGTGTCCCCAGTGCCAAGTGCTGCCCATAATGTGTCTGTTTACAAGAGTCTGATACTTTCATTCTTAGATCCTTTTCATGTCTTCACTCAGAAATATTTACTTGCACTATTATCACCATCCCCATGTTACAGATAGTGTTGCTGAAGCACAGAGAGGTTCAGCAACTTACTTCAGGTCACTCAGCAGCTGAGTTGAGGAGCTAGGATTCAAGCTCATGACCACTAGAATATACTGTCTCTGGATGGAAGTCCAGTGCAGGGAAGGCTGATCTGACTGGTGTGAGCCCAGAGGACTGGGACAGAATTCAATGGTAGGACAGGAACGTCAGAAGGGAGTTAAGAGGGCCTGTTAGGAGGTGGAAGCAACCGACAGACATACAGAAGAGCTGTGCCAGGCAGGCTGCAGCAGAAATAACTGTGCTGTTTCTCAGTGGCTGCCTCTTTAGCCTGTTGACCCAATCTTTCCTACCTCTGGATGAAATTACATCTCAGCTTTTCTCTCTTGGGTTTTACCTGATTTTTAATTTTTTAAATTTTTATTTTTATTTTTATTTATTTATTTATTTATTTTTTGTCTTTTTCGTGACCGGTAAGGAGATCACTGACCCGCACCGCGCTCAGCCAGTGAGCGCACCGGCCATTCCTATGTGGGATCCGAACCCGCGGCGGGAGCGCCGCTGCGCTCCCAGCGCTGCACTCTCCCGAGTGCGCCACGGGGCCGGCCCTGACCCTTAGATTTTGTGGTGGAACCTAAATCCAGATAGGAAGCCTAAGCACAGGCAAGTGAAATGACTTTTAGAACATTTAATCATAAAGCAAAATATCCACATTCCACACGATAGTGTATATAAGGTTTGTGTGTCCCCACTAGATTATATGTTTCCAAGAGGCAAGAATGACCTCCTTGGAATTTAAGGCAATTAGAAGACACAGCAACGAGACTTGAGCCTACAGTCTCTGGTTACAGTCAAAGTGAGAAGACCTCATGAGGAAGGTCGTATCTGATGGTGAGAAAAAGGGAAGGTGATGAATTGCCTGCCCCACCCAGCCTTGCAGAGAGCCTGCCAAGATTCCTATTCAGTCCAGCTAACAGACATGTTTCCAGCTCCTGTCGTGTGCCAGGCATTTAGCATACAACAAAGATCCTTTCCCTATAGCCCTATTCTCCTAATCCCCTAAACAGACAAGGCTTAGCAGAGAATATAGTGAATAAAGGAGGAAGCCAGGAGATAAAAAGACCTATTTGATCCCACCCCGATAGATAAGCTTCATGGGAACAAGGACTTTGTCTCGCTCGCTGCTGTATCCCCAAGCCTGGCACCTCGCCTGGCATGCCAAGTGAACGAATGAGTGAATGACGGATCCATCTGTCACTCACTGTATTCATTCAGAAAGGGCTTAAAAGGCAGCACCACGGCGAGTTGAGTTCCACGAACCTCTTAAATGGAGCCCTCCGGGGGGCCAGTAAATGTCTGTATTCCACGGACATGTTGACTCCAGACTCCCCTCAGTACATCATCACAGCTTCTGTGAGTGTGCTCTGTGTGTGTGTGTGTGTGTGTGTACTTTCCCTGTGGTCAGCAGCATCCTGGGTCCTGACCATAGACGAGACAGGCTACAGATGAGGCAGAGATGCTGTCACCTTCACTGGAAGAGGCCTAGCTGCAGCTCCAGGGACAGATGAGATCAAAATACAGAAGTCCCAGGGCCGGCCCGTGGCTCACTCGGGAGAGTGCGGTGCTGATAACACCAAGGCCGCGGGTTCAGATCCTATATAAGGATGGCTGGTTGGCTCACTGGCTGAGCGTGGTGCTGACAACACTAGGCCAAGGGCTGAGAACCCCTTATTGGTCATCTTAAAAAAAAAAAAATACAGAAGTCCCTGGAGCACCAGTCCCAGGGATCAAAGCCAGCGGGGAACGACCCTCCGGAGGCCCCTCCTGACCGGTCTGCCAGCTCTGAGTCAGCTGCCCCCTGCCATCCTCAGCCAATCCAGAGGCCCAGACCCAGTCCACCTGGATTGCCCTAGCCCTATGACCCACCCCTTCCCTCTCAGCCCAGCAGATCCAGCCTGGCTTCTCACACTGTGTGAATGCACAAAACCACACACTCTCCTAATCTGCACACCTGCACTCTGTGCAGCTCTGATGCAGTGGGCCAGGGTCTGGGGAAGATTGAGCTTGGATAGACAAGTGGATGGATGGCCTTGTGCATGGAGCCGAGGGGTCGGAATGGAGCCTGCTTGCCATTTCTTCCCTCACTGACCTCAGGCAGGTCACACAACTTCACTGCTTCTCCGCTTTCTCAGGGGTAAAGGGGAGGTAGCAGCCCCATCCCTCTCGTTGTGAGAAGCCGGGACATGGCCTAGTCAGTACAGATGAGAGGGTGAACCACTGCCAGACTCAGCAAAGCCCTCAGCAAAGATGCTGTGTAAGTCCCAAGCCTCATCTAACCCAAACCCCAAGTCGTTCCCAGAACTAGATTCACCACGGATGCTGAATGTGTTAAACAGCCCAGATCCAGAATTCTTCCAAATGTGCAGCCTTTCTTTTAATTCCTTCATGTATTCAGCACTTGCCATGTTCCAGACACTCTTCTAAGTGTTTCATATGCGTTATCTCATTTACTTCTCACAAAAACCCTACAAGGAGAAGCTTAGGCTCAGAGAGATTAAGTAACTTGCCTAAGGTCACACAGCTAGGAGATAGGAGAGTTAAGATTTGAACCCACGTCTGTCTGTGGCCAGAGCCCAAACTCCTAACCACCGTGCTGTTCTGCTGCTGCTCCTTAGCTCTTGCTCTTTTGCACCATCCAGGAAGGCCAGAGCCCTGGGGACGTCTTTCCTCTAGTGCCTACCACAGCCTCTGGCCAGTAGTTTGTGCTCAAGAATGAATGCATGCAGGCAGGCAGGCATGCGTGCTAGCCCTGCCCTTAGCCGCTGGCCCAGACCCAGGCTGGAAGCACCCTATCTACAGCTCAGGCAACACCAGGGCAACAAGGCAGTTGTCGGGTCACTGCTGCGCCTTCACCTCTTTCTAAAAATACAAGAGAGCACGAGCGCTCCACGGCCACCAAACAGACATCCAGTTGTTCTATGGGGTCAGTCCCTTACAGCCCGATCTTGCCACCTGGCACTTGCTCCCTCTGGGCCTCCTGCCTGACAACTGACCCCTGTCGTCCCTGTGACTGTTTACCACAAGGCAGAGTCCTGTTTTGCAGAGGTGAGAACTCCTGAGTATCCAGGCGCAGCCCAGCCTGGCCTCACCGCTGCTGAATTGTGTGGGACACCATGACAGTTTGGGGGTCTTTCCCCCTAAGCCCAGTCAAAGCAACTCC